GTTTAATCGATTTGGCTGCAATGTGATTTCATATTTGAAAAAAAAAATGAAAAATTAACGCTCGAAAAACAGTGATTTTCTTGGAACATTTTTTTAGATTTTATTTTGTTGACAGATGAAATTAAATCAATTTGTATAGAGAACAAGAATATATAATAGATTCAAAAGATTATATGCATCTAGATGTTATACTGTTACATCTGACTAGAATTCACGTTCAAAGTTGAAAAAATGGAAAATTAATTCTCAAAAAAATAGTGTGTTCACATTTTAGTAATTTTCTCGGAAACTATAATAGACTGAATGGATCCAAAAGATGCATATGAAAGCTGAATGATTGGGGATTGTGGCGAGTAAATTGTTATAGTTTCATCTATTTGGCTGCAATGTGCGTTTATATTTAAATAAAAATGGAAAATAACGCTCGAATTTTTTTTTCTCGGAAACTTTATTTATATTTTATTTTGCTGAGTGATAAAATTAAATCAATTTGAATAGAGAACAGCAGTTAATTAAACGATATGTATACAATATATAGATAGATGTATTTGTTTTGCAGGGAGAGAGAGAGAGAGAAACGGAATACGTTGATTTTTAATCCTTGGAAATAATTATCGTATGATGATTGTGTGCGTATGAATAATATTTAGTTCCTGGTTATACCGATGATAGAGAACCGCGGGATAAATTATTGGCTCAATTATAACGGGATGCATCATCCGCATAATAGGGGTGAGCCGCGTGTAATTCGTTGAATATAATACACGTACCACCGTATGTATATATATATATATACATATACATTTACGAACACCAAAATCCGCGCCACTAATTAATCAATCAACATAGTAGGCGTCAATTAACACAATCCAAAAGTATTTACAAATAAATATAAAGAAATAATTATTTCATTCATAAATATTTATTTGAAAAATAAAGATATATTATTATGAATCAATTAATTAAAAATTTCATTTCCATGTGTAAATTCAATGCAATAAATGAAAAAACTATTGTATAAACAAGTAAATTGAATATTCGTTACGTATTTCATAATTAGTATACTAAAATGTAATAATTTACAAAAGTTTAAAATATTTGGATTAGATTAGTATAAAATTTCATAATTCCAATTTCAAATAGTTGTTACATAATTCAAAAGTTTTTCTTTTGAAAATGAAGCGATTTCCATATGCAAATTTCACGCAATAAATAAAATAATATAGTATAAAAAAAAAGTAAATTGAAAAGTCGTTTCATAAGAATTTATATAAAAAAAAATGTGTGTTAATTGCCAGCAATTAGGAGCTTGGGAAACTGATGGGTTCATATCTGTTGAATGAAGAACGATGATGATTGATGCGTGCGTGAAAACGAATGGACTTGAAGTGTACTATTATGTATACGAAACAGGACTGTTTCCACCTTGCGACGCACACGGCGTAAAATCGTTATTTATTTCCGGCGAATAATACGAATTCATTGCGTTCCCCGTCTGACGCTAATTTGATTTCAAAACAAATTTATCGCATTGCATTGTAAACTAGGATCTGTGAGGTGAGGTGAGGTGTGTGTGTGTATGTTCGTAACGAAGTTTAGGACCTCGCTCTAGCGAGTACACGGACGCTTTAATACTATGTACATTGTCAACATTGGGGAGAAGGATCAACGGTTACACGAGAGCTGCCTGCATATGTTTACCTACCCTTCGATGCATCGGGATTCAACAGGGTCCTGCAGTGCTTCTTCTCATTCTTCAATCGATGTGTGTGTGTATTTTTTTTCTCTTACTTTTCTTCGGAACATGCCACTAACCAGGACTACGATCGCATCAGCCACAGCCGGTTACACCAAAAGCTACTTAGCCCCGTTCCCGATATCGTCTACGGCAGCCCTTAAGATCCTGTTTACTTTTATGGCTTTTTTAACTTTACAGCCGAGCCGAGGAAGGGAGTTCCTGCGAACCCACCACCTCAACCTACAACCACGCCACCAACACCGCCACCCCAAAAAGGCGGCATTAATCATACCGTTTTATCGCCGCACCGAACACGACAATATCGTCTTAATTTATGTCGCACCGTTCCGCACATGCATTACCAGACCTATTAGCATGAGCGCGTTTGCGGTGGATGCGCCGGGTTACGTCCTATTCCTTCCCGCTTTTCATCGGCATCATTACGTTTAACAATATAACCAGATTATACTTCATACTTCTGCACGATCCCACTCTATTATAAGATACATTTACATAAACCTACTTAATCTGTGTTGCGTTTATGATGCTAATAAAATACAATGATATATATGCAACTTCCATAAACAATCAAATCCAATTTTTACCTAAATTCATCAATAAAATAGTAGATTAAATATCTTAATCCTTTCATACAATACAAAAATATATATTTTTAGTATCAATGAGCATCAGCAGGGACGAAATTATTAAGACACTGATGATTTAAATAATTAAGTAAAAAAAGAAGTGTAAAATTAATAAAGTTAATTACTTCTTTACTAAATAACAAAATAAAATTCTTCAAAAGTCAAATATTTTAGTATTATAATCTTTTTACAATTCTAATAAGACAAATATGTATATCTGAAAGATCCTGAAACATGAAAATGCAAATATTGTTATTTCTTTATGAAAATAATTTGAAAAGCTAAAAATATCTTAAGAAAAATTATATGAATCTAGAGCAATTTTTGTTTTATTAATATAAAATAATTATATTTTGTAAATTAAGCATCAAAGTGGTGATTTCATAATATCGTACAATTAATTTTGTATTCTTTTTTTTTCAATATCCAAATATTTCTTCAGGTTTCAAAGTGGAATTCAATTTTGAATTCATTGAATTTTCCTATTAAATATTTTAGAAACATATTTAATTATTATGCATCATAGAAAATTTATTTACCATATAACTTTAGCATTTTAGCTGTAATTTAATTTTTGTAATTTGTAATTTTTTTCTTAATCATCTATATTTTATAACTATTATAATAATGAAAATAATGGTAGTAGTTTAATATTAAGACTTTTTGCCAAAAAAAAAATATATAAGTTAGTTTTGAACTTATTTATAGAACTTCTTAATTAATTACTATTTTTATATTAAAAAAATATCTATTTTTTATCTTTGGAATAAAGATTATTTAATTAAGATCAAAATTAAAAACTTTAAAATCTAACAAATCAAAAAAACAACCTTTAATTTAATACAACCAATTATTACTGTATTAATTGATACATTAAAGATAGTTTTAACATTTAAATTTGTATAAAAGAAAAACTGAAATAATATCTAAAGCAATTATACTTGATTCTATTAGATTTCACAAAATGTTACGTATCTAACTTTCTAATTAGATATCCAACTATCGAGGTGAATAAGCACGAAGTAATTGGAAACCAAAACTGAAACACACGAACCAGCTGCACCTGAATTAATTCCAGCTCGAATAAATGAGACGCAACGTAATGTTATATAGTAACTAACATAAACGAAAAGAAGACAATAAAATAATAGGTAGACGAATTGAAGCGAAGATGACCGCATGAAGCAATCATAGTAATGGTTGTAACCATCATAAATACAGTAATTTCAGTATCAAATGAACTGAAATATCAGTATGAAATGAACTCAATATTGTATCAAAATTTAATAAAAAAAATATGTAAAGTTTAAATTTATGTCTCTAATAAAGTATAAATATTTAGCTTAAAACGCATTAAATTTACCTAGTAACTTATGTAAGTTTTTTTATGTCGTGTAACAATCTGTTCATCAATGTGAACAATGAGTAAATTTAAGATCGCGGTAAGACATTAGGAATTCTCTGCGATTCCACTATTTCCTTTGACTGTGAAATCTGCTACTATCCTTAACACTGTCATTGTCCATCGACTTGGCTGAAAGTTCATATGCTGAACTTCATTCATTTCACTGTCCATCTGTAATGAACGATGGTCCTATTGCTGGAAGCACCAAGAGGGCTCACAAAGGGCCTGGCTTGACCAGGATTCGAACCTGCGTCCACTAGCTCGTGGGTAGGGCGACTTAACCATTCGCCTATTAGTCGCCCACTTATGTAAGTTGAATAAATATTTTGAATAATTGACCAAATTCTTGATGATCATTATTTTTTATTTAAATTAATTGTCATGATATGAATAAACGAAATCCGAAAAAATATACTTTTATCTAGAAATAATTATTGGAAAATCTATATTTGTAATGCGAGTAACAAAAAAAATATGCCCTACTTTTCGCCCCATGCATGAATACAAGCACACAAACGTTTTGTTTTTGTATTTAATTTAATTTTTTTCCGGGTTTATTTATTTCGGTCAAATATAAATATTTCAATTTGTATTGGAAAATCCGTCCCCGCTCTATTTGCTTTCCATTAATTGCGATTGCATTTTGCTTACACAATTATCCACACACATATATATATATTTCGTTCCGACTTTTCGAGTCAGCCGATTTTTCCAAATAATAAAAATTTTGTACATTTGAAGCGAAATTAAATTTCACGCCGCGTTGGATATAGCGTCGCCGTTTTCGGGATGGAATCGTAGAGAGAGAGGGTGGTCGTTTGGGGGGGGATTCCCTCCACCCTGAAGAGCGAATTTCGCGAACCATTACATCGACGATTAAGATTGCATGTCAATGGAAGAAAGGAAGATTAATATACGCCGAAAAAGTAATAAGCAGTGAAGAAAAAAAAAACGGAGATAGTTGCGGATCGTCTGGGAAAAGCCCTACTCGCGCGCGCTGAGGGAATCTTAGAGAGAGAGAGAAAAAATAAGGGTGGGAAAACGACAATTAAGAACTTTTTCTTTCGCGATTTCACGCCTTCGCGGCCTGCGAGGGCGCGATAAGGACTAACCGGGATTGCGAACCCTTTTCTCCTCGACTCCAACATTTTAACAGCGCACCCTTTTACATATTTCCACATAACTCATTTCAATTAAACACGGTTTTATTTCAGGCATCGTTAAAAGCGGATATATTCGTTTTAATTGCTTCCACCATCTCGGTGGTGCTGTTCGTTCCGCCTATGTCCTTCGTCCTTACGAGGTCCTTCTCCACGGTTTTCGACGTGGCCTTCCTCAACAGCTTAGCGTGTTCGATGTAACCCAAGTAGAAGAGCAGCTCTATGGATGCGTTTATAAGAGCTACTGGACTGACGGTGTCCGGTTCCGCTACAACACTTTCCGGTGATCTCGTCGCAGTTTCGAAAGCCGCGCAATTGTAACCGAAATTCGCAGCGGAAATCAAGCTGGGACCTCCGATGAGTCCGCAAACGACGTTGCAAAGAATCGTGCCGTACAGATTTGGACACACTAATATATCGAATTGATGCGGATCCGAGACGATCTGCATGCAGCAGTTGTCCACAATCATTTGATCAACCTGAATATTCGGGTATTCCTTGGCAACTTTCTTGATCGTTCTCAAAAACAATCCATCCGACAGCTTCATAATATTAGCTTTATGGATTATGCTAATCTTCTTCCTATTAAACTTCTTGGCAAACTCGAAAGTCCAACGAGCTATCCTCTCCGAGTTATACGTAGTACAAACCTTCATGCTTTCAACTACACCAGGAATACTCTGATGCTCCAACATGGAATATTCACCCTCAACATTCTCTCTCACGATGACAATATCAATATTTTGATATCTCGCCGGAACACCGAGATACGATTTACATATATTCAAGCTGCAAAATAAGTCCAACTTCTTACGGATCGCCACGTTCGGTGAAGCGTACAGCTTCTCATCCTCCGAGGTGAATCTTTCTATGCTGCCTTTGATGCAGCAACCGTTTCTTCTTATGCTCATTATGGCTTGTTTCACTGAAGTCGGTGTAGATTCGACGTCGACAACTTCGAAATCGATTGGGGCATTGATGAACTTGAAAATATCGCGGATGTGATTCATCATCTCTGGACCGTTTCCGCAGCCCGGTATCATCGTCACTATGTGTCTTCCGCCGTATTTCGAGACCGGAAGCTCTTTGTACTTCTTCAATCTAGACGATTTCGATATTGCATGTCTGCTTATTTCATCAGCCAAAGTCGAAACACATCGTTTTTGTAAAACATAGAAAACTTTAAAATTCATTTCTAAATGTCAATTTCTGTGACAAGCATTTCCGACACTAAATCAAATACAGATACAAACATCATAATTATAGTGGACATGAAATACTAAAATTAAAGACAAAACCATGTCTTTTCCTATAAGTCTACTGTCACATTTGTGGAACTGTCCGTTTCCTTGTAATAAAATCTTCAAATTAAATACTCAATGCCTTAACGTTTTCTTTCATTACTCAATATCATATGATACATGCGCGCTAGCTACAAAATAACAAATATTTAGAATTTTGAAATTATTATCTTGTAATAAACTGTTAAAATTAATAAATTAAATGAGAATCCAGAGTTTTCACAATTAATCTTCTGAAACATACTTTTTTAGATTGTCTAATACTAATTATTAATCAAAATTTAACTTTCATTGTTATATTTTGTTACTGAGTCAAAACTATTTACTCATTGTCAGCATGTGGCATTGACACTAAATCAAATACAGATACAAACATCATATTTATAGTGGACATCAAATACTAAAATTAAAGACAAAACCATACCTTTTCCAATAAGTCTACTGTCAAATTTGTGGAACTGTCCGTTTCCTTGTAATAAAATCTTCAAATTAAATACTCAATGTCTTAACGTTCTCTTTCGTTACTCAATATCATATGATACATGCGCGCTAGCTACAAAATAACAAATATTTACAAATTTGAAATTATTATCTTGTAATAAACTGTTAAAATTAATAAATTAAATGAGAATCCAGCGTTTTCACGATTAATCTTCTGAAACATACTTTTTTAGATTGTCTAATACTAATTATTAATCAAAATTTAACTTTCATTGTTATATTTTGTTACTGAGTCAAAACTATTTACTCATTGTCAGCATGTGGCATTGACACTAAATCAAATACAGATACAAACATCATATTTATAGTGGACATCAAATACTAAAATTAAAGACAAAACCATACCTTTTCCAATAAGTCTACTGTCTGATTTGTGGAACTGTCCTTTTCCTTATAATAAAATCTTCAAATTAAATACTCAATGTCTTAACGTTCTCTTTCATTACTCAGTATCATATGATACATGCGCGCTAGCTACAAAATAACAAATATTTACAAATTTGAAATTATTATCTTGTAATAAACTGTTAAAATTAATAAATTAAATGAGAATCCAGCGTTTTCACGGTTAATCTTCTGAAACATACTTATTAGATTGTCTAATACTAATTAATAATCAAAATTTAACTTTCATCGTGTAACAGAGTCAAATTTACTCATTGTTAGCATGTGGCATTGACACTAAATCAAATACAGATACAAATATCATATTTATAGTGGACATCAAATACTAAAATTAAAGACAAAACCATACCTTTTCCAATAAGTCTACTGTCAAATTTGTGGAACTGTCCGTTTCCTTGTAATAAAATCTTCAAATTAAATACTCAATGTCTTAACGTTCTCTTTCGTTACTCAATAGCATATGATACATGCGCGCTAGCTACAAAATAACAAATATTTACAAATTTGAAATTATTATCTTGTAATAAACTGTTAAAATTAAGAAATTAAATGAAAATCCAGCGTTTTCACGATTAATCTTCTGAAACATACTTTTTTAGATTGTCTAATGCTAATTATTAATCAAAATTCAACTTTCATTGTGTAACAGAGTCAAATTTACCATTGTTAGCATGTGGCGAAAACATTACTCAGTAGCCAGCATTGAAAATCAAAGAATACTAATATACATGATTTCGATCAGTGATTCCCAAAGTGGTCTATATCGACCCCCAGAGGTCTGTAACAGCCTGCAAAGGGTCTACGTCAGAGAAAGAAAAATTTGGGGGTCTCAACATACACTGATAGTACCTATTTACTTACTTTATTCTATCTTATAATATAAAGACATATACATTATTTATAAAAGTATCTAGGAAGTAAAAAAAATTATATATGTTTATAAAATTGTATAAGTTGTAGGATGTAGGCATTCGCTTTGTGGTCGCAATACATTTTGAACTTGTAATAACCTGCACATAATGATATACCAGTATTATCTTGTTGCAAGCATACGCGCAGTCTCAGAGCAAAGATCTTAATAATTATAAAGATGTCCCAATATAAATAATAAATTTACAAAAAATCAATATCAGGTAAGTAGGGGGTCTATCCAAAACCGAAAAACATGACAAGGGGTCTACGACACAAAAAAAATTGGGAACCTCTGATTTAAATAATTACATTTCATGTATTTTTGTTGATATCACCCGTGATGTTCATGGCACATTGATTGTCCCATTTTTACTTATTTACCAAAATTGGTATCATCGGTGATGCTCATATCATTGAACATGTTAAGAAATGATCGTCGATTGCGTATTTTGTTGCGATCATTGTTATATAATATTAAATATTGATTGGGTTGTAGCATTTTTTTGTAAGTATATTTTTTTTTCATATTTACGTTTTGTCCAAATTATGTGAAGAAAATAATTGTAATTGTATTAAATTTTCTGAGATGTTGTGATCGAAGTGTGGGTTGTTCATGTTGACGTTTTCAATGGGCCGTGACTTCTGACAGTTGCGAGAGAGAGAGACATCGTAGGTGTAGCGTCCGGTGGAAGTGGATGCGTGGTGTGTGTTTGAAGGGCTCCGGGGTGGCAAGCACACAAAACGCGATTGTGATAGAGTCGACTGAAATTCTGTGTGTAAAAGGGAGTCCTGATCAGCCTGGGCACGGACAGTTGGGCAGCAGCATCATCTAATGGCCCATTATCCTGGCGCTTTGATTTGTTTGTCGCTGTGCTTTATTTGTTGCGCTGTCGCGAGCCTCGCCGACAGATACAAAGGTAAATTATAAAGCGCTGACTGGCATTCATATTATATGTATGTACGTGAACAGAGCAAACAATGCATCGCTCAGAATTCCAAAAACCCCACCAACCACCACCCAAAACGCATAACAACCATCAATGGAAATTCAATGACAAATAATCAGGGATCGACCCTGTTCCAATGTTTACCCATTTCTTTGTTTGGTCGCTTTGGTAACCTTCTGTTTGCAGATTACGAGATCGTTATACCGAGGAAGGTGAACGAACTGGGGGAATTCGTGAGCCATTCCCTGAGCCATTACCATAAACGGGACGGCGATGGTCCATCGGATAATCTCCACTATAGTGTGCCGATATCCGGCCGGGATCACCATTTGGAGCTGTTGCCTAATCGTAAAATTTCAAGTCCCGGGGCACTTGTGGAGACGATCTCGCGCGCCGGAACCAAACAGTTCAAACGGATGAGTGACAACAATCGATGCCATTTCGGTGGAACGGTGAGAGGTGTCCGAGGATCGCGTGCCGCTGTCTCCACATGCAACGGTTTGGTTGGTGAAAACCTCAACTCAACTCAAAAATGAACTATTTTCAAATCTGTCTTTCCCAAAGGCAGGTTACATACGGACCGACGATGGACATTACCTCATCGAACCTGCAGCTCCGATCTCGTCCGCATCCGGTCCGCATCCTCATGTCGTTTACAAGGATAGTGGAGATGCAAAGGGGAATTGCGGATCGGATGTTCGGAGGAGGAATGCGCGCGATGGTGTTAATGCGACCGCGGGAATTGCCTCCGTCGACGTTCCAATAGAAATGCACATTGAGTCCTTGGTAGTCCTTGATCAAGCCATTCTCCGATACCGCAAGGAAATCGATATCGAGAACTTCGTGCTCACGGTATTCAACATGGCAAGTGCATACACATTACTGCTATACATACACGCATTCCTCTCCTGCGACAATTACTTTTAACTAACCTCAGGCGAACCGTTTTCCCTCCCGCAACTACTTAGTTTCAATTGCAACTATTTACAGTTTATTGCAGTTACATTCTATTCCTTCCATAATGCAACATAACATTTATACTATCGCACATACTTACTTATTTTTTATTTAACAACCTATACTATTTACAATGTTTTCTTAACAATCTTTCAGTTACAACTATAGAAAAACAATTTTCAACAATTAATCAAATAACATAACAAAATTCCATTTTTCCAATTACAATTAACATTAGGAAATATCAAGCATTTTTGTAAGTTTTTCAACATAAAATTTCTTTTAACGATATTGATCAATATGTCAACAATTTTTAATTTTTCAATTCTTGAATTGAAATTCAACTTTTTTGTTAATTATGCAATTTTCTTATTCTTATTTCTTATTTCTATAAAGTTTGAAGATAATTGATAGAATTTTTTTTTTACTAGTATTTTATTCATATTCATTTCTTTTCTTAAGAAAATTGCTTTAAGTTTCATTTTCTATATAGATTTTATTTATATTTTTATCTAATTTCTTTAACTATTACGAACAATTTATGGTCATGTTTCACTCAGTCGTTTATCCAACAACATATGTTCCATTATAGTCCAATTATTACATTACTCTAAGTGGTATTAGGATAATAACAATATTTCATTGTATAATCTATTTTTTTTTTTATAAAAATACAATTATTTCTTCCAACAATTGCAAAGATAAATTAATGTACATAATTAAAGTTTGCGTTAATTTGCTTGTTTTGAGTAAAGAAGGATTAGATTATATAAAAATGATTTGTATCATTTCGTTGAACCTTTGCAATTTCTAGAAATCGATCAATCTAAATTTTGAGATTTATAGCGAGTAATTGGCAAACACTTTCCTATACTATATACAATGTTTTCTTAACAATCTTTCAGTTACAACTACAGAAAACCAATTTTCAACAATTGATCAAATAACATAACTAAATTCCATTTTTCCAATTCCAATTAAAGCATTACAATTAACATTAGGAAATATCAAGCATTTTTGTAAGTTTTTCAACATAAAATTTCTTTTAACGATATTGATCAATTGTCAATAATTTTTAATTTTTCAATTCTTGAATTCAAATTCAACTTTTCAACTTTTTTGTTAATTATGCAATTTTCTTATTCTTTATTTCTATAAAGTTGAAAGAAAATTGATAGAAAAAAATTGTTTACTAGTACTTTATTCATTTATTTTATTAAATTTTCTTTAAGTTTCATTTTCTATATAGAAGTTATTTATATTTTTGTCAAATTTCTTTAACTATTACCAACAATTTATGGTCATGTTTCACTCAGTCGTTTATCCAACAACATATGTTCCATTATATTCCAATTATTACATTACTCTAAGTGGTATTAGGATAATAACAATATTTCATGGTATAATCTATTTTTTTTTTTATAAAAATAAATTATTTCTTCCAACAATTAGAATGATAAATTAATGTACATAATTAAAATTTGCGTTAATTTGCTAGTTTTGAGTAAATTATAGAATAATGATTTGTATCATTTTGTTGAACCTTTGCAATTTCTAGAAATCGATCAATCTAAAGTTTGAGATTTATAGCGAGTAATTGGCAAACACTTTCCTAGCACTTTCATTTTAAACACTTTTTTTTTTGTTTTTTTTTTTTGTAAGTTACTTGACAAGTATTGAGTGGAGAGTGGCCGTTTCAATGTACAATTTATAGAGTAGGTCAACGCAGTTTGTTAAATCTTGATGTAGTAGTTGCGGTTTAAGAGGTCCGAACTTTAGTTAACTATGACTAGTTAGATGGCAATGGGATCGATTGACCGCAACGACCGTTTCGATCGATTTCCGTTTTCGCAGGCACACGATTTGTTCCACGACGGCTCCCTGGGCTACAACATCAATTTGGCCATTGTCCGGCTGATCCGGCTCGAGGACGACGACCACGAGGTAAAACCGAAGCCCGATTATTAATTTCCCACATGAAGATTAATTTATATAAGACCATCCCTCATCCTCAATCTCATCCTACTCCTTCATCTTTCTCGCCACTCTTTTTCCTTCGACACCGATGATGGAAAAAGAGTGGAAAGTTCATCTGGGGGTGTGTAGAAAGAGACGCACAGAAAGAATGAAAGAGAAGATAACAAGAGAGAGAAAAAAAAAGAAATTGAACGAGTATCATAGAAAGACGAAAAACGCGAGAGCGAGTCGTGTAATTAATGTCCTCCTTTTTGTGCGTCGACTCTGAGGGGGTCGCTGCCACCCTTAACCTCCTTTTCTCCCCATTATTATTTATTTTTTTCTACTTATTTCTATATATATATATAACGTACTGATAACAAACGATTCATCCCCTGCTCGCAGATGAACGTCTCGCCACGCAAAAATCCGAGACGCGCCCTCGAGCACTTTCGCAAGTGGCAAAACAGAATTAACCCCAGGGACGACGACCACCCCAATCACCATGACGTTGCAGTTTTACTCACAAGGTGTGTATTATTAAACGCAAAATGCTTGCCGGCAGAAAATTCCTATCCTCGCCAACCCCCCGAGCTTTGCACAACATTCGCCACCCCTCCAATACAAAGCGCAGATCGAGCTCGTATGTTTGTGTACATACACGCTCAAGTTGCACGTGTGTGTGTGTGCGTTTTGCGGTCGACGTAGTTGCAGTTGCAGCAGCAAAAAGCATATTAAAGCTCGGGCTTGATGAGTTGTGTTGATTACATGAGGATATCGGGGCCACTGATTAAAAATATGATATATAATGCGCCATTCGCCGAGGGAAATAGTGCATCCCACCGATTCTTTTCAACCCCCAACGTATTATGTTTTTTTTTTCCTCTTTACAACCATGTT